TTGGAAGATATGCTGAGAGCTTGTGCACTAGATTATGGATCTAGTTGGGACGAGAATTTGCCTTATGCAGAGTTCTCTTACAACAACAGTTACCAATCCAGTTTGAAGATGGCCCCTTTGGAAGCCTTGTACGGAAGGAGGTGCAGGACCCCGTTGTCATGGGATGAAGTTGGAGACCGCCAGTTGTTTGGACCGGATCTGATTAAGGAGTCTGAACATAAAGTAAAATTGATTCGCGATAGGCTCAAGGTAGCTCAGTCCAGGCAGAAGAGCTACACAGATTCTAAACACAAGGAGACAGTTTATGGAGTCAGAGACCGAGCTTATCTTCGAGTATCTCCACTTCGAGGAGTTAAGCGCTTTGGAGTTAAGGGAAAGTTAGCGCCATGTTTTGTAGGACCATACAAAGTTCTGGAGCGTATGGGAGAAGTAGCCTATAAGTTGGAATTGCCCGAAGGATTGTCAGGAGTTCATGACGTGTTCCACGTTTCCCAGTTGAAGAAGTGCCACGCAGAGATGGCAGCTATACCGCCGAGAGTTACAGTTCCACTGGAAGCGATTCAGTTGGACAGTGATTTGACCTATGAGGAGAAACCAGATAAGATTCTAGAGTATGCCAGTCGAGTCACCCGCAGTAAGGTTATCAAGTTTTGCAAAGTTCAGTGGAGCCACCACACGGAGGATGAAGCCACCTGGGAGCGAGAGGAAGAATTGCTGAAGGACCACCCTCACCTATTTTCTAGCCAACCCGAATCTCGAGGGCAAGATTCATCTTAAGGGGGGTAGGTTTGTAACATCCCAAATTTTTAATTTGTAATGTTATACACTAGATCATCATTTGCATATCATATTTTATTGCATTTTGGTTGATCCTAGAAAATTCTACCCAACTCAAGGACCCTCGAAGAGAGTTGGAGATTTCGTTATTTTCATATTTGAGTTTTCTCAAATTTTGAAAATAGGATCATTTGATTTTATTTATCTTATCTTCAATTATTTCTATTATCAAATATGAGAGAGGGAATAAAATGACTTTCCCAAAAATAAAGAAATATTGAGGATAATAAAAAAAATCAAATAAGATTTTATTTTGATTTTATTTGCTATTTTATTTGAATTTAGGAAAAATGCGTGTTTTTCAAAATTGCATTTAGGCCCCAAATAAATGTTCATCCTGTGCGGCTTGATTTTAGAAGCCGGGGAAAATTTATTTCGGGATTTTTGGAGTCCATTTAGTATTCCTTTTGTTTTTTTTCTAAGCGTAACTATTTTAAAAAAAAGAGTGTGAACCGATTTTGGGCCGTAACAGGCCAGGACTCCGCCTGGCCGGGCCTTCAAATAGTCGCCGCCCGAGGCCCGACAGCCCCAAGCCGCGCCCCCGCCCCAAACCCTAACCCTAGCGTCGCCGTCGCCGCCCCCGCGCCACCCGCGCCGCCACCTGCCCGCTGTCGGATCCGCCGCTGCCGGAGGTAGATCTGGCCGCCGGTTTTTTTTAAAAAACCGATCGGTTTTCCGTCGGTTTCTTTTGGTTTTTTTAGTTTTTTTAATAGATCGATTTTTCCGGTTTATTTATTTAGCGAGCGTTCGCCCGTTCGTTCGTTTTAACGAACGCGTTCTTCGATTAGATTCAAATAACGAACGTTCGTTCATTAATCTGTTCGTCGTTTTTCTTTTTCTCGGATTTAATCCGTAATTTTTCTAATCGAGATTCCTGATCCGTTTTTCGTTCTAGTCTAACTTTTCGCTCGTTTAACGGAATCAGGCGATTCAAGTGCCTGGAGTTTCGTCTCGAAACCCTCTTTCTGTTTAACCAACTCAAACAAGTGTTTGCCACTGTAAAAATTGCCCTAGATCTAGAATAGTAAATGAAGCTTGTTTCTTTTGCCGTTTGTCTTTCGTTGCTTCGTTCGTTTTGATTCTTTTTGCCAAACGGAGTTCTTAAGTTGAACTTTCTGGTTAGTTTTCTTATTTGAGTTTTACCTGGTCATTAGTTGAGTACTTATTGTATGCTTGTTTGTTTGCGATAGAGTACCTGGAGTGCGCCGCTTGCTACTTCGAGTCGCTAGGTTTTGCGGATCATCAGCAAGGCAAGTAACACTTTGATCATACCTCCTACTACCCAGTTTTTATTGCATTAGATCAATCCTCATACATTGCATGATTAGGATCTAATTAAATTGTGGGTTTGGGAAGTAGTTGAGGTAGTACCTATTACCTGTTATTATCAAACCTTTGGGAGTTACTTCTACGTTTGCTTATTATGCTATGCTATGCTAGTAGACGTGGATTGGGTGAATGTATCCATGACAGATGTGAGATTATTAAATTAATGGTTTATCTAAGGTGGCAACTTAAATACACATCTGGGTGGATTGAGGCACCTGGGTATTCCAGCAATTGCCTGTTTTTCTTTTGGACCGCCACCCAGGCATCAAAGGGATCATGAGATTATTCATGCTAGAAACTTCCGTGTGCAGCCACAAGCTACTATGGGCTCTAGCATAGTTGACTAAGTTATGCGAACTCTTACAGTGGTAGACTAGCAGATGTAGGGGAAAGTAGGTGTAACGATCTACCCGATCGTAAGGTGCTAGCGCTTTTGAAAGACTTTGTCTCGGTCATCCGTTTCTCAAACACCATGTAGTGTGAGAAATCAAACGGAGGCGATCGAGTCTTGTGGGGAAAAGTGCGCAAACCTCTACAGAGTGTATAAACTAATCATGGTTAGCCGTGTCCCCGGTTATGGACAACTTGAGTATCTAGTACCTAGATTATCATGTGAATCTCAACATATACTCAGTGATGCCGTTGGAGTTGATGGACTCACTTATCTTCCAAGCCTTCCGCTGTTATCGTTATTAGATGGCCTTAAGCCATATTTATTGTAATAAGTTCTCTTTTGAGACTCTCGATGTAATAAGTGTGTAATTGCTACTCTGTTATAAATCCTTCAAGTACTGTGTGGTGTCAGCATTACTGATCCAAGGATGACACCTGAGCACAGAGATTGGATCGTTTGAGGTCTGGTCGCTACAGTGTGTTAGAAACATAACATAACATAACATGGCTTTTAAAGTAGGTTATCTCTTGCCATGGGATGGGTTGTGGGTGCATATAGGCTAGTGCAGTGAGTTGATTCCCACCAAATCTCCATGGTGTACCCCCTCTTTATAGCACAGCTTTCCTATTGACTCAAACAAATCAAAGATCGATAAGATGTCGTCTCTTTTCCTCATTTTGAATGGGGGGCTCTCCGTCCATGTGTGCTTGTCTTTGAATGTGCTCTCTCACAATTTATCGACTCAATCAGATGGTTAGGTCACTAATAATTTTTTTCATTAACACCAAAATCACTTAGGAGAAATTATGTCCCTTCAGCAAAACACTAGTGTGTGCACTCATTGATATTGAGAGGGTTGAAGGAGCTTTGGCCGGTGGCCATGGACATCATTGGTGCACTATTGGTTGGCTATCTTGATCCAATCTAGACGACTCCACCCGCACATCCTCCTCCAAATAGACCGATGTCCAAAATAGGCGTACAAAGAGATGTTGGTTGTTGCGGGCAACAAAGGATATGGAGGAGATTGGAATGATGTCAACTAGATTTAATTGCCTCGGTGTCGCTCACAGGGGCTATGACAAGGAGATTTGAGTGGGATTAGTGATGTTGACTATGTCTTGGTTTCTGTCTCACATGTTTCGTTCTTTGGCGATCCTTAACTTCTTCCACATTGGCCCACCAATAAAGTAGTAAACCAACAGTGTGCCCTATGAGGTGTCCTCAATCATAACATGAGCAATAGTATAAGGTACTTATGTACTAAGGCGGACAATTCATGTGACTCTTATAAGGCTTCTTCACAAAAATGTGAATAAACCAGGAGAAAGGGGAGACTTCCTTATTTGAGTTTTCAGCTTCCTGATCATTTCTGATTATCCATTGGTTTCAGATTGATCCACGGTGATATCCCTACTTGATCAATAAGGTCACATAGCAGGTCTAAAAGTATTACATATCCACTTTTCAGGAAGGGGCGAGACAGGGTGTTCCCCACCTGAATATATCACTCAAACAACCAATGGTCTGAGTTGATTACATGCAAAGATTAACATGTGAGGAGACGCCAAAAGCTGGCGGCAGCCTTATGACTCGGTTTTCACAAGCCAGTAGGACCAAGTGGTGAAGTCATTGATTATGTTATTGATTGTAGCGGAGTTGTGTTGGTATTGGTTTCAGAAGATGAGCGCATTTTTTGGCATACCAAATCTTCCAAATGATTGTGGGCAACACGGAATGGCTTACTTGTCGAGGAAGAGGAACCGGTGTCGTAGTTTCCCTAATGTTGCCAAGGTCATCTTGAGTAGGAGTGTCTAGATCAAGCCATTGCCAAACCCTAATGAACAGGGAGCACTGAAGGAAAAAATGCATACAACCTACTTATGCAATAAGACTTTAGCATACTACTGCAGATTTTATTTTGGCCTCTCAGGCGCCAAACAAGGTCAAAGTCTTTGTGGGGCTACTCTTTCATAACCGGCTAAACACCGAGCCAACTTACGCCACGAGCATATCATCGACTGAAGTGACTGCCCGAGATTACGTTGTCTACTTATACTTTCTAGAATGTAACATTGACAGCAAAATGCACTCATATGCTTGTATGCTCTCCAGCGGGTAAGAAAGATGCACACATGCTATGAACATAATCTTCGCAACAGAATATTTCAGCATCACACACATTCCTTGATTGGCAAGAATCATTTGAGCACACACTCTCATTCATTTGCGTGGAACATAATTACATACTTTGGCGCGATGATATAAACACCTAAATAAGCATGCACGTAAAAGAAGCAGACATTAGTTAGGAGCACAAAAGAAACCCAAGATATATTCAGGTGGACTGCACATCAGGAAGAACCAAATGGACCGCACATCGTCAAGAGGGAACCAAATGGACACAGATGAAGCGGACCTCGCCCATATGTCACAAGCTTCATATGTAGGTCTGCTTGGACAACTTGAAACCTGAGATGAGAGCTGAGAATGCGAGGCAAAGAAAGGCGAAGAAGGCCATGCTAATCGAGGCAGCGGACGAGTCGGTGAACACGTTGTCTGAGCCCTCCCGCATGCGGTTTGTGATCGGGATCGCAGCGGACAATGCGGACATCAGAAGGTACGCCGTTACCTGCAAGAGCAAGAGAAACCCATTTTGGTAAGTACGGTTAAGAATTTTGTAGGCATTTAAGTCAACCCAGTTTTACTTCGAGAGGGGGGGATGCATAGGACTCCATGATTTTTAATGAATGTGTGTCACACTATCATTATCTGTTCCACCACACGACATATGCAGCGAATGCTGATCACCATCACAACATCGCAATTGTGAATATTCATAGTGCATATAAAGTTTAAAATAACGGGCCATGGCAAATAGTGGCATCCTCAAAGCAAGCTAAATCAACACTAGGTTGCTGCTGAATGACATTATAGCCCCTTAAAACCGCTAACTTGTATATAGATGTTGTTTAGTGGGACCCACTAAACACTAAAATGTTGAGTATGTATCTTCAAAAGGATGACGTTTTGTATTCACACTATGTTTCACAAATGTCAAACAACGAACGGTACCATATAGATAAACTAAAATAGATATCCTACTTAATTACTTTCATTCTTTCAATTAAGCTTCAATAAGAGCAACTCTAGCAGACCCTGTAAAAGCACGAAATTGCAAAATAACCGTCGGTTTACAGTTTTAGGTGAAAAAACCGTCCAGAATAGAACCCGTAAACCACCCGACCCGTAAAATTTTTAAGAGGCACCGCAAACATCCTGGCCGAACCCGTGAAAATAAGGATTTCGGAGAGGACCCTAGGACGACCTGTATACGTGAAAGACCATCGGCGGGAGTCCAACTGCCAGCGAAAACTTCATGGCTTGCTCCCGTCCGTCCCCGGCCGCCTGTGCACGCCCCGGCCGCAACGCCGCCCCTTACTGCCACGCCCGCCGGCCGTCCGCCGCGCCGGCCTGCGGTTCTCTCCATGAGGAGCTAGCTAGCTAGCTAGCCAACCGAATCGATTCGAATGGATCAGCTAGCTAGCTATAGCTAGCAGCTCAATGGATGCGCGTGTAGCTAGCGAATGGAGGAGTTCGGCCTCCGCCCGCGTGGTGCCGCTGTCTGATGCTGCAGTCGGCACTGCTGCTGGCCCCGGCCCGGTCGCACTCGATGGCGAGCACAAGGAGACGGTCGCGGAGGCAGGACGCGCACACGCCGAGAGAACGAAGGTCGAGATGGGAAGGACGTGAGGAAGAAGATGTTATATTTAGAAAATATTCTTTTTTACTGATTGATTATACGGGTTCTGTTCGGCCGCAGCTAAAATCGACCTTTATAATCCGTTTTCCTCAGCCCGTAAAACATTTATGCGGGTCGTGATTTTGTGGGGTCTGCTAGAGTTGCTCTAAGGCAACATATGCGTGTTGACTTGTTTTTTTTTTTGAGGGGATTGACTTGGTTGTTCTGATCCAGATGTAAGGAATGATATGAAGTGGAAGTGCCATGTGGATGCATTTAGGTCATGTACGAGTACAATAAATTAGCTGAAGAAATGGGCTAGAATTCCAGCACACAACAGCTTGCGCGACTGATAATAATAATCCACCTATCTCTATCTGTACGCTATAACAATTGTCCCTGACGACGTGCTATGCATCACACAGCTTCACATCCACCAAATTGACCACCAACTCAAAACCCTCAATGAGCAATATACTCTACCACGCATCTAGAATTTTCGGGAAACCAAAATTACCAGTATCTTTTGCTTTTCCTATTCCTATTGTTCAAGTAATTTTGCTTATGCTCTGATCCCCTTGGAGACAATGGTGACACTTGTCTGAGACAAATGCCAGAGAGAAGCAACAAGAATTGCCGAGGCAGAATTCACCAGGGCAGATATGCCAAAACGCCTAGGTTGCTTTGCTGACCTGATCCCCGGCGAAGTCGACCAGCAGGCCGACCTTGCTCTGCAGGTCCTGGCCGCCGCTGAGCCGGACGCCGTGTCGCACCAGCTGGAGCGTGGTGTAGATGAACGCCAGCAGCCCCACCGCGACGATGTACCTGACGAGCCAGCCGCCGACACGTACGCACCAAACGTTAGTTGATTACGCTCACACGCCACGCAAGTACGCAACCACCGCCAGCGTGCGGGGGGTCAATGAAGTGCGCCGGAGTTGGCATGGCGCACCTGTACTCCTCGTAGTGGTCGAACTGCTTCCAGTCGCCGTGCTCGTTGGCGACCATGACGAGGAAGGCGAGCAGGGAGAACGCCCACGCCGCCGCCCGCAGCGCCGACCCGGATTTGTCCAGGAGGTCCTGCCGCCGCCAGCGCCCGACGATCGCGCCCACCGCGCCTCCTCCGCCGGAGCCTTCGGGGGCCCCTCCAGCCGGCGCTCCGGCCTTCTCCACGTCGACGGCGGGGGCGTCGGTCATGGCGTGCGTGCTGGCGGTGGGAACGAACGTACGCGACCGCGAGGCTTCTTGGATTTATAGTGGAGATATGGAATGGAATCGGTTCAGTTCAGTTGGATCGGTTAATCGACCGGTTTGGTGCCTGCTGGCAAGTTATTATACAGCGAGGCGAGGAGAGCAGTGCGCGCCATTTTGGCCGGCAAAGGATCTTCTGCGCCACCGTATGAGCTAGGTTACATTAAGAAAATGCTACTACTAGACCTGACTAACAGCACCAGCTTATCTTGAGTTTTTTTTTCGAGAATGGCTTACCTTGAGGTTTCAGTCATATGCGCCATACATATACTAGTATAATGTTGGCCTTGAGTTGGCGTGGTCGAAGAGACAAACATCATAATGCGTTGGCTCCAACTTTTTTTTGTCGAGAAGCGTGTCGATATATTAGGATGGAAAGCAAAGGACATTTACATGTACTCCCTCTTTTTTTTATAAAAGTTTCAACCTATTCATTGTCAATCATAACAATACAACGAATATCAGAAATAATAAAAATTACATCCAGGTCCGTAGACCACCTAATGACGACTACAAGCACTGAAGTGAGCCGAAGGGCGCCGTCGTCATCACCCCTCCTTCATCAGAATCGAACAAAACTTGTTGTAGTAGACAATCGGGAAGTCGTCGTGCTAAGGTCTCATAGGACCAGCGCAACAGAACAACAGTCGTCGCTGATGAAGAGTGACGTAGATCAATAGGATCCAACCTGAAAAAACACAAACATAGACGAACTACAACCAGATCCAAGCAAATTCACCAAGGATAGATCCGCTGGAGACACACCTCCACACGCCTACCGACGATGCTAGACACACCACCGGAACGGGGGCTAAGCGCGGAGAACCTTATTCCATCTTTAAGGAGCCGCCGCTGTCTCGTCTTCCTGAGCAGGACACAAATCCTAACAAAAGTTGAAGACACATGTAAAAACGGAGCCCTCCAGCCGGCAAGGGTCGGGATCCACCTACATGTACTCCATCCGTCCTTTAAAGAGTGTACTTCCAACTTTATTGAAGAGTTAAATTATCTCAAATTTTAACTGAGTTTGTGCAAAAATATGTTTGTGAAACCAAATAGATATATGATGAAAATATATTTTATCGTGAATCTAATGCTACTAATTATTTGGGAGAAAATATCTTGCCGATGAAATCTAGTTAGTTTCCGCAAAGAAAAATCTAGTTACTAAGCAAAATATTTGCTATTTTCAGCCATCTCAATCTTAAAACGAATTGATAAAACCCTCATGAGTACCCCTCAAAAGATACATGATAACAAAAGGCTGAAGGCCAATATGTCAGTGTCGACAGAACAATCAGCGGCGTCCTCCTCCGGGGAGGGTCGCCGAGAGCAATGAAACTTATTAGCTGGAACTGTCGGGGTTTGCTCGGGGCCCCGACAGTTAGATCGCTTCTGGACATCCAGAGGCGGAATAATCCGGATGCGTTTTTCCTGTCTGAAACGTATTTGGACGAGACTAAGGCAGAAGAGATAATGAGGAAACTGAGGATGGACCATAGGATTGTGGTACCCTGTCTTGATGGTAGAAGCGGAGGATTACTGTTAGTCTGGAAGAAGGAGGTGAGGATCTACTCCCGGACTAATACGTTTAATTGCATTGATGTTTCGGTGGAAGAAGCAGATGGTAGAGTATGGAGGCTTACGGGTCTGTATGGAGAACCAAGCTGGGATAATAAGAACAAGACATACCAGCTGATCCGAGATCTTCATGCCCACTCTAACTTGCTGTGGGTGGTTATTGGGGACTTTAACGAAATACTACTGTCGTCAGAAAAGGAAGGAGGAGCCCAGCGGCAGCAGTCCAGGCTCAAAGCATTCCAAGACGCCCTGACAGACTGCTCTTTAGAGGATATTGGATACCATGGTGACAAATTTACCTTCTTTAGAGGAGGGTTGCGAGAAAGATTGGATCGACCAGTTTCAAATCCGGGATGGATGGAGATGCACCCGTTGTGTGGTCTTGTAAACCTGGATATGGGTAAGTCGGATCACAAACCTATCTGTTTGGATACTGAATATCTGACGGGTGTCGCAGGCCCACGACGTCGATCAGGAAGGAAATTTGAGGCAAGATGGCTAGAAGAAGAGTTGGTGGAGGAAGTAGTGCGAACGGCGTGGCAAAAGGCAGTCGTCAGGGGGCTTTGTCCCTCGGCTAGCGAGAAACTAGCAGCGGTACATAAAGATCTTCATCAATGGGACAGGAAAATTCTGAAGGGCCCTCGAGCCAGACTAAAAACAGCGCAGCAGGAATTAGAGGCACTGATGAGAGAGCCATATGATGCTGAGGCACGTGTAAAACAGCAGGATTTGACGTTCAAAATTGAAAATCTCTTAGAGCAAGAGGAGATTTACTGGGCCCAATGGGGACATGCAAAGTGGCTTCGTCGCGGTGACCGTAATACCAAATTTTTTCATCAGTTTGCTTCGGCCCGTCGACGTCGTAACTTGATCAAGAGATTGAAAGATAATAATAACACATGGGTTGAGGGGAATGATAACCTCAAGCCCCTGATCTTTGATTACTTCCAGAATCTATTTTCATCGGAGGCAGGGCTGATTGATGAATCTTTACTGAATACAGTAAAACCCATAGTCACGGGGCAAATGAATGACCTCCTGGTTGCCCCATACACGAGGGAAGAAGTAAAAAAGCGTTGTTTCAAATAGGAGATATGAAAGCACCTGGCCCCGATGGGCTTCATGCCATATTCTTCAAACGTTTTGGCATATCGTTGGAGAGGAATTAACAGATGAAGTGCTACAAGCTATAAATAACAGGAAAATCCCTAATGGATGGAATGACACTAATGTGGTGCTAATACCTAAAGTTGACAGCCCAGAGTTAATCACTATGTTTAGACCCATTAGTTTATGCAATGTGGTGTATAAAATTATCTCAAAAATGTTGGCGAATAGGTTGAAGAAAATCCTGCCTGAGTTGATCTCTCCTACACAGAGTGCTTTTGTACCAGGTAGATTGATCACTGATAATGTGCTTATTGCCTATGAGTGCTTTCATTCCATAAAGAAGAGAACACATGGGTCGAATGGGATTTGTGCAGTTAAACTTGACATGCTAAAAGCATATGACAGAGTAGAGTGGGAATTTTTGAGACAGATGATGATGAGATTGGGGTTTCATGCACAATGGATTGAGCTAATTATGGAGTGTGTCTCTTCTGTTAAATATCATATCAGATTTAATGATACAGAGACATATGAGTTTATACCAACTAGAGGTCTAAGACAGGGAGAAAGAATAAAAGTGGCATGGAACGCACCTTCAATATCCCACCTTTTGTTTGCAGATGACTCTCTAATTCTTATGAGAGCCATGGTGCAAAATGCAAGCACTTTGAAGAGAGTTCTAGATACATATTGTGAGAGCTCGGGATAGCGAGTAAGTACACCTAAATCTAGTGTATTTTTTAGTCCTAATACAGAGTTAGTGAAAGAGAGGCTGTTTGCGGAGTACTGAATATATTAACTGAAGCGCTGTCTGACAGGTATTTGGGATTACCAACAATTGTGGGTGTTGACAGAAGTGATTGCTTCCAACATCTTGTTGACAGAGTGTGTCAAAGGCTGAAGGGTTGGAAGGAAAAATTCCTACCAGTTCAAGGTAAAGAAATCCTTCTCAAAGCGGTAGCTCAGGCAATTCCATCATATGCTATGTTTGTTTTTAAACTACCGAAAGGAATTTGCAAAGCAATCACTGATGAAATATCGAGCTTCTGGTGGGGGGATGGAGAGGAAAAAAGGAAAATGCATTGTTTTGCATGGTGGAAGATGTGTGTATCAAAGAAGAAGGGAGGAATGGGATTCAGAGACCTTCATAGCTTTAACCTTGCTATGTTAGCAAAGCAGTGCTGGCGACTGATCCACAATCCTGACTCTTTGTGTGCACAGGTTTTAGGTGCAAAATACTATCCGGATGGCAATATCCTGCGAGCTGGACCGAAGAAAGGCTCCTCGTTCACATGGCAAAGTATCTTTGCGGGGATACAAACGTTCAAGCGGGGGTGTATTTGGAGGGTGGGTACGGGCTCACAGATCAATATCTGGGAGGACCCATGGATTCCATCAAGCCCGATCAGGAAAGTAATTACCCCTCGAGGGGGAGTTATGTTGTCAAAAGTGCAAGATATAATTGACCCACATACGAGTCAGTGGGATGAGGCACTTATTCAGAGTGTGTTCTCACCAGTTGATGTAAGCAGAATATTACAAATCCCACTCCAAGTTGAAGTTACAAAAGATCTTGTGGCATGGCAATTCACCAAGTCTGGAACATTTTCAGTACGCTCGGCTTATTATGTGGAGTTTGATCACCAGTTCGGTCGGCATTACAGAGAAGTTAATAGTCCAGGAACTGCTCAGCTAAACGGGGTCTGGAAGGAGGTTTGGCGCCTCCGATTACCGGGGAAGATTAAGCACTTTGGTTGGAAAGTGCTTAAAGGAGTATTACCGTGCTACGGTGTGCTAGCGGACAGACATATTCCCTTGATCCCACAATGCCCAATATGCAAGGTTGGCTTGGAAGATATCCAGCACTGTTTATTCACATGTGATAGAGCTCGACTTGTGTGGGCATCGCTAGAACTAACAGAGGAGATTGATAATGCTGTTATACAGGACCGGTCCGGCTCTGTTAATTTGGACATATTGATCCGACTACAGAAACTAGTAGGGGATATTTCAATGTCCGAGCTGATTCTTGTTACTATGTGGTATATATGGTGGCAGCGGAGGCAAGTAACGAAAGGGGAGACAGTGTCGACCCCGGAACAGACAGCTATCTCAATACGAGTTCTCGCTACCAACTTTGTTCAAGCAAATACACCAAAAGTGGCCACCCGCAAGAAAGATCAATTGTGGAAAAAACCAGGTAGTGGAGTTATAAAGGTTAATGTTGATGCATCATTTCATGAGGAGAATCTTCG